AGAGGGTGGGGGGCTGAACCCCAGTTGAGGGGGGTTGGGGGAGTGAGCCCCAATGGGTGAGGGGGTGAGCCCCAGTATCTAGGAGGGCTGGGGGGGTGGCTGAGTCCCAGTATCTGGGAGAGGGTGGGTGCATGATCCCTCGCCATTGAATTTTCCAGAGGAGGGGGCTGGATTGCTACCCATAGCGTCCGGGAATGGCTTTGGTGCTGGACTGTAAACTTCCCAAGGCAGGAGGGGACCCCTTGCCTTATGATGGGTGAGGGGGTGAGCCCCAGTATCTAGGAGGGCTGGGGGGGTGGCTGAGTCCCAGTATCTGGGAGAGGGTGGGTGCATGATCCCTCGCCATTGAATTTTCCAGAGGAGGGGGCTGGATTGCTACCCATAGCGTCCGGGAATGGCTTTGGTGCTGGACTGTAAACTTCCCAAGGCAGGAGGGGACCCCTTGCCTTATGCCAGGGATTCTGGGGCTCGCTGCCTGTTTACCACTTGCAGCAAGAGGCTGAGCAGGAAGGACGAAGTGTGATCATACAAGGGGAGTCCTTGATTTCTAGGCTAGTTACCTGGATGAGAGATCTTTTTCAGTCAGTGTGTCTGGTTGCATCCACCTAGGGCTGGCCCTGTGTTGGTCAGGGCCCCGTGGGAGGTCGTGCACATTGCCTCAGTTGAATTTCCAGCATGTGCTCACATCTCGGTGGGATTGTGGGAAGACTTTGGTGGTTGCAGTGATGGGGGATGGTTTCGTTATTTCTCTCCCCTCTTCTCCCCCCTGTGCTTTAGCAAGGTCTAGGGTGCAGGCCCCCAAAGGCAAGTGTCTTTATGGTTGCCCACTCTGCATATGACTTGCCATGCTGTTGCCCTACTTTTGTTTTCAGTTTTTGTACAGCAGCTGTCACTCTAATGTCTAGGTGCCAGTGGCACCATTTCATCCCCCCAAAAAAATCTTTTCATGCATGTGGTTACCATTTATTAGTCATCTTTGTTTTGTGGGTTTTTTAGGTTCCCCTGCAATCCTGTAAAAGGAACACTTGGATTCTTCACTTGCATTCAACACACAGATTTCAGAACGATCATTTGAATTGCGGAAGATGTCATCTGGCCTTACAGAAGAACAGAAAAGAAAAATTGAGGCGAATAGGCAGAAGGCCTTGGCTAGGAGAGCAGAGAGACTAGCAGCCCAGCAAGGAGGGCCTAGTGGGCTCATAAGCCAACAATCCAACCAGCAGAATCCAAACTACAGAGGAAACCTGGAACATCAGTGTTTGAAACAAGAAAACAATCATGTTCGGTTCATTAGCCAGCACCAACAGAATCTCAGCAGCCATGTGGCACAGACGAGCTATGTTCAGAAAGGAAATAATCACCTTAACCCACCCCAGCAGACCTCTGGTTCACGCAGCATGCAACAGGAGAACTGTTCGGAGGACTCAGGCCGAGTGTCACAGAGTCAAATGTGCAGCACTAAGCAGTACCTCTCGATAGTCGAGAATTCTTTGAGTTATTGCCCTCAAAGTTACTCAGGTGCTGAACCACCCCAGGTCCACCCAGCATTCAAAAAACCGACAGAAACGTCTCATCCGAAATTAACTGCTAATGAGCACCCAGGTGATGTTAAAGGTTTGCAAAGTCTAAACAAATCTGCCAGTGGACATGTTGGCATTAAATACCTGCCGCTATCGAGCGGCGCTACCTCGAGTGATTCCGAAATGTCAACAAATGCAGGGAAAGCCGCCAGAAAGGACGGTGGTAGCATCTCACGGTTCTGTGGTACGGTGCAGTCACTCACTCCGTTGAAGGAGGGTAAGATGCAGAAGGTGGCCAGTTCTGGTGGTGTGGGCTCTACCTTGGAGGCATCCGGTCAAAGAAAAGAGAAGGTGGCCAGTTCTGGTGGTGTGGGCTCTATCTTGGATGCATCCGATCAAAGAAAAACACACCGTGTTATCACAGGAAGGTGTGTGAAACACAGAGAAGACCGATTCCAGGTGGAAGTAGGCTACAATGCTGAACTCATTGCTGTGTTTAAGAGCATACCTAGCAAAATTTATGGTAAGAAAATTTATAACAGTGTTTAAAACTTGGTGTGGGCCCCTGTTGCTTTTAAGAAAAATCTGCATATCAGTCTCTTTAAGGAACTGGACAGAAATCACCTTCCCCATCACAGAAATGCAGCTGTTGCAGGAGTGGAATAGGGCAGTGATGTTGTATGTAATTTTTAGGGTGTGTGTGAAAAGTAAGGCAGTTGAAACTGCAGAAGAATTAATGGAATAAATAACTCAGACTTGAATTTAGCCAAGATAATCTCCATTAGTCATCTTGCCCCCTGCTCGTATGAGAAGTGTGCTGAGATGTTTTGTGACTTCAGGCATTCAGAATGAGAGCTGGTTTGGAAACTGTTTTGCCAAAAATGTTGAACTTTTGGAACAATGGTCCTGATTTGGGATTTTTTTTTTAAATCCCCTCTCCCCCCATGAAAATGGTCCTGATTTGGGATTTTTTTTTTTTTTAATCCCCTCTCCCCCCATGACATTTTTAAAAATACATTGTTGGAGTAAATCAAAATGTTTAATTTCAGTAAATTTGGACTGTATGGATTTTGACCTTTCAAAAATACATAAAGTACATTCTGAAATGAAAAGTCACTTTGAAACAAAAAAAACCAAACAAATCCAAAGATTTCACTCCAGAAATATCAAAAAAGACCATTTTGACATTTCTAAATGTTTTTCTATTTGTTTCAAAATGAAATTTTGTTGTAAATTGGTACGATTGTTTAAAAATTGCTTTTACCAAAATGGCATTTTCTGACAGAAAACTATTTTGACAAAAAAAAAAAATGTCTGACAGTTTTGGTAGGAATCTTTGAGGGTGGAATAGAGTACTTTGGAGATCGGAATAGAGAAATGGTCAGTTTCTGTTGCTCTTGGACAATAGGTTGTCTCATAGTCTTGAAGGCCAGAAGGCATTGTTGAGATCATCTAGTCTGACCTGCACATCACAGGCCACAAAACTTTACCTACCCACTCTTGAGATAGGCCCATAAACTTCAACTGCAGTACTGAAGACCTGAAATATCAATTTAAAAACTTCTAGTTACAGAGAATCTACCATTTACTCTAGTTCAAACTAGGGATGTAAAATCCTGGTTAATCACTTAACCGGTAAAACATTAGGTTAACATTTAACCGGTTAATCAATTAAAGTGGGATCCGGTCTGCAGGTGGCTACCAGCCTCCGCCAAAGCAGCACCTGTCTGCAGCAGACCCTCCCTCCCCCTGGACAGAGGCGGCTCTGCAGCAGGCCATCTGTGGGGCTGGAGCGCTGCTCCCGCTCCCACTGATTACCGGTTTCATATCCCTAATTTAAGCTAGTGACTCCTGCCGTGTGCTTCAGAGGAAGGCAGCCCCCTCCTCCCTTAGGGTTTCTGTCAATCTGACCAGGGAAACATTCCTTTCTGACCCCAGATGTGGCTCTCAGTTAGACCTCGAGCGTTTGAGATCCACCAGCCAGACACTGGGGAAAGAATTCTCTGTAATAATTCAGAGCCCTTCTCATCTAGTGCCGCCTCTTTGGCCACTGGAGAGATGTGCTAGTCGCAGTCATTCATGGACCATATGCCACTGTAGGCAACGTCCTTATGGAAAGCCGAGACAGAACTTCATTCCTTTGACTTAGAAACCTGCATCTAAGGCTCCGTTTGCCCTTTCAGCGATAAAACGTGTGCGGATCAGGGTGTGAAAAAATCCCCCCGACTGACACAAGTGTTACCACCAAAAAGTGGGCCAGTGTGGAGATGCTCTCCTGCTGACAAAGCCATTGCCCCTTGTTGGGAGTGTTTTTATTTTGTCTGCAGGACAGCAGGCTGCCTCCCACAAAGACCTAAGACCTACAACTGCATGTCTGGAGCAGCACAACTGGGCCTAAACTTGTTGATGGGCCGTGTCTATTCATTTGTTCTTGTGCTCACATTGGCCCTTAACTCAACTTTGTAATCAGCACCAGTCTAATCCTGTGGTCTCCAGTTGTCCTAGTGTCCTCTACATTCACCTCCTTGACGTCCAAGGTTGTGCACAAATATTTGTACCCACCCTTCTTTGCAAAATCCTTTCTTCTTTTCAGTCCGTGCTGCCTTCTGTGATTTACTTCCACTCTCTTCTCATATTTGTATGGATTTTTTTTTGTGCTATCCGACTGCTAAGTCTTTCTGTATTCCCAACTGTCCTGCAGTTGTAATAACAATGTGCAGAGCTTTTGACAGGTATGTGTGAAGTGTTTGTATAAACAGACCAGATTCTCTTTAATTGCTAAGCCTTTACCAGCCCTGTTTGTTTCTGTTCTCAAATGACTCAAATTCCGTCCAATTTCAGATCCTGCTATGAAGATGTGGAATTTTAGTTTAGAAGACTACAGGAGTCTCAGTAAGTGAGCAGTCTATGGTGTGACAGACAAGATGAAAGTCTCTCTTTCACCTCTGCATCTTTACTGTTGGCTGTGTTATTACTGTACTGTTAAAACAATAAACCCATTTGAGGTTCTTCCATGAATCTCCGAATTTAGTTAGAATGAACTGGATTTCTAGGTGTAATGCTAAACATATGCTTTCTCTGCTCACTAAGAATACGTCTACACTGCAGACTTATTTCGAAATAAGTTATTCTGGAATAGTTATTCCGAAATAGCTTATTTTGAAATAGCATGTCTACACTGCAGGGAAGCTTCAAAATAAGTCTAGGGCAGACTTCCCTAATGTAGACGCGCTATCTTGATGTAGATTCCCAGGAGGCACTGGGGAGGAATAACTTACACGGCCCTGGTGAGGGGCTATTTCGAAATAGCAGTGGAGCGTCTACACACGCCTTATTCCGAAATTGCTATTTCAGAACAGGCGTTATTCCTTGTAGAATGAGGTTTACAGATTTTGGAATAAAACATCCATTATTTTGAAATAACGGAATGACTGTGTAGACACTCACATTATTTCGAAATAACGCTAGTTATCTCAAAATAACAGTGCAGTGTAGGCACACCCTAATTGAATATATTAGGAGTGAACAAACCATAGCATATGGCTGAATTCATGCAACTCGTTCATATGGGTCCATGCAGAGAAAGCAACAACATTCCGGAAGTGCAGGCTGGCTAATACTTTACTTAATGATTTCCTCTGATGCTATATTTTTAAACAGTACACTAAACAGTTTCAGGAAGCTGTTTGTCTTCCTGTTTATTGTGAGTGTGGGGAGTGAAATGGGATGAGCTTAGCTTTGTATGAGGTCATGGGGTTGCCTCAGAATTTGAAAGATCAGGGGATGGTTTTTTTCACTGTAGACTGGAGAGGATTTGAGATGGTTGCAGAGAAAATGCTTTTCAGGTGGGCTTTTTCGTAAGCACTTAGCCTTCATCCAACTCCGCTTTCCTTGAAGTCAGTGGTGAAACTACTGTTGATTTCAATGGGAGCAGATTTAGGCCAATGCTTTGGGGAAAACCCTTCAGCCCTAATTTTAACCTCCCAGACAGATGGCTGTGTATTTAAGCGCTGACTCTTTTATTTGTATCTTATAGCACACAAGCAGAGTCCTAGCCCTGCACACTCAGGGCACGTCTACACAGCAGGGCTAAACTCGAAATAAGCAACACTCGTTGCGTAGTTTAAGTCGAAATGGCTTATTTCGCCTTTTTTGGCACTGTCTACATAGCAGTTGTTTCAAAATAGAGCACTCTTCCCCTGACTTCTCTTACTCCTCGTACAAGAGGCATTACAGGAGTTGTAGAAAGAAGCCCGTTACTTCGAACTGATTTTGAAATAAAGGGCTTACTGTGTAGACGCGCACTACGTTATTTCGGAATCACTGATGTTATTCTGAAATAATGCAGCTGTGTACACACATCCTCACAGTCTGAACTGACAGCTTTTAAATAGTATGTAATCTTTTTCTAAAAATGTCTTGTCAAATTATCCTGAAGCTTATGGTGGAAGGCACATAATGAAAAGCAGCTGCTGGCATCCATATCAGAAGACACTGTCCTGAGTGTTTCATACCCTGTTGTTAAATGAACTGTATCAACTTGAAATCTAGACAGTGTTTTAAAGAATGGTTCAAAAACTAGTGGCAGGTTCTATGCGTTCCCCTGCCAGTTTCAGTGGTTTTATAATTACGCTTTCTGGTACTTTTTAAGTTTGTCTTTGGGACTTTCAAGAAAAAAATTAATCAACTAGGTGAAACAAAATGTAGACAAAGTGAACAAATAAAGAGCATTTCCTCATCCCCCTCTAATTTCTTTAAAGCAGCAGTGGGTCATAACTATATTCGACATAAAGAATCAGAAAAAAATGCAAGTTTCCATACAGACATTAATTGAAAGCCTTGCTTTTCACTTACTAAAGACGTCTTCTGAAATTCTCCTTTTTGGATGAAATTTCACATGCTAGGATTCCGTTTGGAGGTGGCTTTCTTTTTTAAGGCAAGCTGAATGAAAATCTGTTTGGAATTATTGGTGGGAGAAGGAGGGTGAAAAAGCTACTTTTCCAGCTTTCCAAAAATAAGGCTCGTCAGTAGCACCGAATGTTGGAGAAAGAAGCTGTACCACTGTCGTATAGCTCAACTCACACAGGAATGGCCCCTGAGTTTTCTAAGGTGTGTGTGGGGGGGACGACAACACGGGACCAACTCCTGCTCCTTCTGTCCCTTGGGAATTGAAGTTTTTGTGATCTGCCCAATTTTTCACGTACGCTGTCCCATAAAGCCCCCCCTCCAGTGGAAGCAGTGAAGCCGCTTTCCTCGGTGATTTTGGTGCCATTGGAAGAGATGGATACAGCTGGCCCAGCGGCGTGTTCTCAGTCTGGCAGCAGCAGTCCTAGCTTGAAATCCTTCTTGAAGATGTGCAGCGGTTGGCAGAAACCCTCTGCCCCCGTCAAGGGGAAATGTGTTCTGATCTCGCGCTCCCGCTTTGAGGTTGATATTGGGTACGCTGCAGAAATGATTGACGTTTTTAAACGGATGAATTCCAGGAATTACGGTGAGTCTGGTTTGAGTGCTGCATTAATGTAATGGGGGTGTAGGTGCTGGCTGCGTTCAGTAACACTTATAATGTGCTTTGGGATGGAAAGAGGACAGGTAGTCTATAAAAGCATATCTGCTTTGGGCAGGCTGAATGAGAGCTCTGCCTTAGGGAGGGCTTTGGTATCTGCTACAATAACGCTGGGAGACTAAAACATTGTGCCTACTGTTTTGCTCTGTGGCAGCATGAAGGACTCCTCGTTTTGTTCAAAGGTAATTTTCTAAAACCATATTTCAGTGCCAGGTGTGTTGAATTTGGCCAGTGGTGCCCAATTTCTGCTTCTCCCCACCTCATTTGTAGTTTTTGTTATCAAGAATGACAACAACTCCATGTGGAAATGTGCATGATCTTCCCAGACAACGAATGGAAGTCGGTGGAGGTCCCCGGCAGCCATATTATGTGTTTAGGAGACAGTCTTATAACACTCTTAGAACTCAGACCAACAATGGTAGTTAAATATCCCCCTCGCCCCCCACTCACTTTATAAACAGGCAAACTGAGGGACAAAGAGGTGAAGTGAACAGGCCAGTGACAGAACGTGGAACAGAACCACGGCCTGTTCACTCACAACCAGTGCCCGATTGGCTGCATCGTGCTGCCTGCTTGTCGTGGGCCAGCTTTTGACTCGCATCTTCCGGTGAGTCAAAGGTATCTGCTGCCAGAACTGCAGGCCGAATTTGGTCCGAATGCGGGTACCCGTGAATGAGGCAGCTCTGCCACTAGCTATTGCCCTCTGAAAGTCCACTGGGGTCTAACGGCCTGTGCACTTTGCTGAGGCATAGTCTCCCTCCCTTAGTTGACAGGAAAGTTTTTTTTTTAAAGATGGCTGCCTGAGGTGGAGTCGGTTGCAAAGCAGTTCGGGAATGAGTGACTCTTAAACACGCAGCAACCGCAGCATTCATGGGAGAGCCAGATGATGTTTTTAAACTTCCTTTCTGCCGACATTTGACTCTTTTACTGTTGTGACTGTTACAGACATGAAGACCAGAAAATGGAGTTTCCAGTTGGAGGACTACCCAAGGCTAAGTGAGAAGCTGCATTTTCCTATGGGGGTCTGGTCTCTTGGGAGGGTGACAAATTCTAATTCCATTGCTGGGGATGAACGTCTCCTGGGAGAGGGGATAGAAGTGGTGATGAACTCCCCTACGGGCTGACTCGTTGCTCTATCCAATTGATTTTTGTAGGGGTTTCAGAGATTCAGAAGCCTGATTGTAATAAGAACATAAGAGTGGCCATACTGTCCATACTGGTCAGACCAAAGGTCCATCTAGCCAGTATCCTGTCTGCCGACAGTGGCCAGCACCAGATGCCCCAGAGGGAGGGATTGCAATGGGTAGTCCTTGGGTGATCCCTCCCGTCACCTACCTCCAGAGAAACTAACATGTGAATATTAGTAATACTTACAGTGGCCTGTCAGAGGCCCATTCGGGATCGGGGCCCCATTGAATTGGGTGTTGCACAAAGGGATACGAAGATGTGATCTGTGCAAGGGTGGAATTTCTATTCTGTTTTTAGTTCATATATTTGTAGTGTGTGTGAGTGTAACTGTGAGTGAATGAATTGCAGGGTGGGGCGGTCCTAGCATCGTTGTCTTTAGAACTAAGAAATGCAGGCAGTCCCCGGGTTACATGGATCTGACTTACATCGGATCCCTACTTACAAATGGGGTGAGGCAACCCCGCACTAGCTGCTTCCCCCCAGCAGACCAGGGAGACGCGAAGCTAGCGCCCCCCCCCAGCAGACCAGGGAGACGCGGAGCGGCTTTTCTCAGCAGACACCTCAGCTTGAGAATAAAGGACTGAGGGAAGTGAGGTGTGGGAGAATAAAACTGAGCTCTGGAGAAATGTTTGGCTAGTGTTTCCCCTACAATATGTACCAGTTCCGACTTACATACAAATTCAACTTAAGAACAAACCTACAGTCCCTATCTTGTACGTAACCTGGGGACTTCCTGTAGTTAAATAGCAGAGGGAGGAGGGGTTCCCTTTCTGTTTCCCCTTTCCCCAGATGTGTAGGCGAGATGGAATAAGGGCTGCTTGCCCTTCATGTCCATCTGTGGAATTCTGGGTCGCTAGGTCTGTCCAGGGTACGTCTCAGCAGTGAAGATAAACCCGCAGCAGGCCTGTGAGGCTGTTCCATTTCTCTGTAGTCTTCTGGGGTCAGGCTGAAGTCTGAGCTCCTGGGATCCCCCTTCCTCCACAGGGTCCTAGAGCTGGGCTACTAGCCCAAGCCCAGAAGTCTCACAGCAGTGCAACAGCCCCACAGTCCGAGTAGGCTAGCACAGGCCAGCTATGGGTGTTGAGTTGCTGTGTAAAGATGCCGGTCGTGTCTTCTCCCCGGCCGGTCCCTCATTCCCCACCTTCCTCTTTTGTGTTGGCTTGTTCCGCTGCTGGCATATGGTCACTCCCGACTCATGGTGAGCAACGGATGCACATGCGTGAGTGCTCTGCCCATGCCCTGCAAATACCCCTTTGCAGGACGTAAGCACTAGGGAGAACCTCATGCTGGTGACTTGCACCTTCTGATCAAGGTCTGCTCAGTTTATACGTGAACTGATGATTTTTCTAACTGCCAGCCTCAGACCCATAGTCTGGGTGCCGAGCGTCAGAGCGGTTTTGTTCAGCTTGATACCGTACGACTCGAAATGAAGGCGCTGTGATCGGAACTCAGCCAACAGGCTTGTTGTTGATGTACAAGGCCGACTAGACTCCAGTTCACTCTCTAGGGACTATGTTGACAGATGGGCAAACGAGTCCCTGCTTGTTTCAATAAAGTGATCAGACAGGTCCTGCGGGTTTTCGTATTCCTCTGAAAAGTCCAAGTGCTAAGATGATGGGCACTTAAAAATATGTTAGTAAAATATGTTGTAGCTGTAACCTTCCCTTCTGGACACAGATAGATGTGTAGATTCTTCTCCCTTTGCGCCCATGTATACTGATGGAAAAACTTCTGACCCACACAGCAGGGTGTAAGCGTGGATTTCTCTTGAAAGATGGATCTGCTTTGCAAATAGCTCGCTCCCAGCAGCGTGCTCTCAGCACGCCTGCTTCTCAGTTGTGTGTGTTTCGTTACCATCTGGGAAGTCCTTTGAAGATGAAAAGCCCCGCATTAGCACTCGGTGTTGCAGTTATTACTTCTCATTCCATTAGCCCTCCTCGTACTTCCCGAAATATAAGGCTGCATAGTTAGAGCAGGTTAAGCTTTAGAAAGAAATGGCAAGATGCCCTGGCATGGTGCTAGAGCACTCTTGTGCAGGATTGTACCGTCGTGGTCCAAAATCCTGCGGCTTAGTAGTGCACGCCGTTACTATGGGATAATAGGTACATATGCAATAATTGAATGCCTGTGTGCTAACGCACTCAGCACTAGAGTCATGCTAATAGCAATTAAGCTGGAAGCCTGGATGCTGGATGTACAGTAAAACTCCATTGGTCCGGCATCCAATGCTCTGGCACTCCTGATGGTCCAGCACCATTGGGAGCCCAGAACTGCTCGAGGCAGCCAGCCCATTGGAGCTGCTCTGCGCCCGGCTTCCCCCATTCAGCTGCTGCTGAAACTGACTAGCAGCTGAATTGGGGAAGCTGGGGGCAAAGCAGCTGGGGTGCTACCAGGTTGGTCCCGTAGTGCTGCCCCTTGGGGCTGTGGGCCCACCCCAGCAGCCCCCCAGCTACTCTCGGGGATGCCTGGGGCAGAGCAGCTGGAGTGCTGCCAGGTTGGTCCTGCAGCGCAGAGGGTTACCTGAGCGGCGCTCTGGGGCTCCTTGTTCCAGCCGCTGCTGAAACTGACCAGCAGCGGCTGAATCGGGGACACCTGGGGCAGAGCCGGACCCCCTTCTGATAGTCCGGCATATCTGATAATCCGGCACCCCCTGGGTCCTAAAGATGCCGGACTATCAGAAGTTTACTGTAGTATTAAAGGAGAGGGTGCTTTATAGTGGTGAGGACACACAAGATTTTTAGGTGAGCAAGGCCTCAGCTGAAACTGACCAGCAGCGGCTGAATCGGGGACACCTGGGGCAGAGCCGGACCCCCTTCTGATAGTCCGGCATATCTGATAATCCGGCACCCCCTGGGTCCTAAAGATGCCGGACTATCAGAAGTTTACTGTAGTATTAAAGGAGAGGGTGCTTTATAGTGGTGAGGACACACAAGATTTTTAGGTGAGCAAGGCCTCATTCTGAAACTACCACCTAAAGGAGGGGAGGATGCAGTCACACAATGGAGGCTCCTGTTAACTGGGAGTTGAGGATACATGGCCTGGGCCTGTGCAAAGAGGCCTGACCTTGTCAGGTGACCAGCAGCTCCTGCTAGACGCTGAGTTTGCTCTGTCTGTTCAATCCGCTGGCTTCCTTGCGGGTTCGGGGCTTGCGCTGTCTTGGAAGAACCATTCAGCGTTTGGCAGGGCCACAAAGGGATAAAGGATCCTGTGGATGGTACTCTAGAAGCACGCTGGTGAGCGATTGGCAGCCCTTTTATAATGAACCTGTTGACAAGCTCTGTCCCTCTTTACTTACCCTAGCAGAAAAAAAAATTGCTTTATGCCGGTGCTTTGTGTCCTGTGCTGATTTCCTCATGTCAGGAACTGTTCCCAGGGGTTAATATCTGTTTGCCCGGTTACTCAGTCCTCTTGAGCTAAAAGGTCACGTCAGTAAAAAAATGACTCTGAGATGAATCATACTGGCTGCAGACGCATCCTAATGACTTTTCTAGCTTTTCCGCAGAGCTAGAGCGTCAGAGTTATCGGGTAGCAATTATAGTAACTCAGTAAATAAGTTTGAGAGTATAATAATGGGCTTTTGCTGTGGTTTTGGAAGAGAGATTTCCTGCTATTGAGACTATTGAGTAAACGAGAGAGCTGAGGAAGTTTAGACCATCACGCACACTCCAGCAAAAATCCTTTCAAAGAAGGATTTTTTTTTTACGTATGTAGCTGGAATCCATCCAGCCTGCTCCCTCCACTGTCGCGAGAACTGAAATTAAAATGAAAAATCCACGGTCTTGAGGCATATTTGGGGCCCCCACAGTTGTAAGACATAAAATCAGCCCGTACAGATTTAAATGTGAGTTGCGCCATATATGTGTACAGCCGGAATTGTTTCTGTTCCCCCCCCATTTCCTGTGTTAGTGGTTGAAAACTGAAGAGGTGCTTCCAGTAATAATGGGAGGTGGGCATGCATATGCACATGCTTGGTGTAGCGCAACGTGTGTAATAGGGATGTAAATTTAGATTAATAGGCTAATCGAATAGTTGATGCAAGTTGCATCGATAAGGGCACCTCCGCCTTTGAAGTGTAGCAACAGCCCCGAAGGCAAAAGTGCTGCGGGAAGCATGGGGCCAGTGGGGGACTCAAGCAATCCCCCGCTGGCCCCGTGCTCCCTGCGGTGTTTCAAAGCAGCAGGACTGCATGGAGCCCGGAGTCCGCAGGGGAGTCCGCAACTGATCCCGGGCTCTACGTGGCGCTGCCCCTTTAAAACGCCATATGCAGCCCAGGCCAGCGGGGGACTCCTAGCTGTCGACTGTGTGTTAAGTATTTGCTTATCGGATAGTCGACTAGTCAATCACACCCCTAGTGGCGAGCTACTCCAGCCCCACGGTGAACCTTAATCCATCTGCTTCAGCCACTATGGGTGAGGTTTACCCGTTCAACCTTCACGTCCCTAATGTTTAGTGATAGTAATGGTGTCGTAGCAGCTAGAAATGCGGAACAGCTTCCCTAAAGATATGGTATGTCCGTGCATTAAAGAATATTTTTAAAAGTGCCAAGAGGTTGGTTGAACTAAACAAAGTCCCAGCAAGTTTTAAAAAATGTAAAACTGGCAAAATCTCTCTCCCGATTCTTTCCCAGAGTAGGTGGAACCCACCTACAGGGGGGATATGATAGAGGTCTATAAAATCATGAGTGCTGTGGAGAGAGCGGATAAAGAAAAGTTATTTATTAGTTCCCATAATAGAAGAACTAGAGGACACCAAATGAAATTAATGGGTAGCCGGTTTAAAACTAATAAAAGAAAGTTCTTCTTTACACAGGGTGTAGTCAACCTGTGGAACTCCTTGCCAGAGGAGGCTGTGAAGACTATAACAGAGTTTAGAGAGAAGCTAGATAATTTCATGGAGGTTAGGTCCATAAAAGGCTATTAGACAGGGGGTAGAAATGGTGTCTCTGGCCTCTGTTTGTCAGAGGCTGGAGGGGGATGGCAGGAGACAAATCGCTTGATCATTGTCTTTGATCCACCCTCTCCGGGGCATCTGGTGCTGGCCACTGTCGGCAGACAGGCTACTGGGCTAGATGGACCTTTGGCCTGACCCAGTACGGCCATTCTTAGGTTCTTAGATCGGCCCATTTTTTAGCATTCCAAGCCCTATCTTATTTGAAGCAGGATTATTTTATTTGATAGCAGACCCTTACTATTCACAGGGTTGCTATTTGCGGTTCAGTGTAATCACGGGTGGCTCCTGGCACCTGTGATGAGTTCCCCGTGGCTCCTGGCTTCCGCAGGAAGCTGCAGAGAGCTCACTGGGTGGGCCAGGAGCAATGGCCAGTTTCACCCTTCACAGTGGTGCCAGGAATGTATCTACCGGGAATGGCGAAGGTTTCCTGTTTGTTTTTCTTTAACACTTGCTGCATTGTAGTCCCCAGTCAGATAGCCATTGTGCTTGGTGCTGTACAAACACACGACATGAAGACTGTTCCTTCCCCAGAGAGGTTCAGGTGTGTATTGCAGGTTAGGTGATGGAGGGCAGATGCAATCCAATGAGATGACACTTTTTTAATAGCTGGACACCTTTACAAGGAAAGAGGTTTTAGGCTACGGGCATGAGCCTGTTGAGAGAACAGCTGTTCCAATCCATCTCGTTGGGATAATGGAAGAGGAGCTCTGCGGTAGTAGTCCCTGGTGCTCTGCTCTTCCGGAGTTGTAAGGCAGCATGAGATCAAAACCTTGGTTCTGCAGTGCCGAGGGGGACTCTACTAGGGTCTGGACAGCGGTGCGATTTTGGGATACTTCCGCTATCCCGAAATAGCTATTTAGCGTCTTTTAAACAAGCCCGTAATTTTGAAATAGCGGGCTTACTGTTCCGACGTCCTTGTAAACCTCATTCCAGGAGAAATAACAGCTAATTCGAGTTAGGGCTTTACTTCGAACTCCCGTTTCACTGCTGCGTGTATTCCAGGCTAGTCAATTTCCAAAAATGGTGACTGCCCGGGAACATGCTAATGAAGCACGGGATATGTAAATCCCGCACGTCAACTGCAATTTCGTTTGCCCTCATTAGCCTCCCTAATTCGAACTAGGGGGCTAGTGTAGTCGTACCCTTAGTCTATAAGATGCCACAGGATTTCTCTTCGAAATAAGCTATTTCAAATTAAGCTTATTTTGAGCTACGGGTGCAGTGCAGATACCCCCTTAGGCAGTAATAAAAATAATCATTTGAACAAGGTGCTGTAGGCTACCTAGGGGGTAATCTGTGCCCTGGCTCTTAAAATAAATGATTAAACACTTCCTGTTCACGCTGGCCTGTGGACTTGTGCTAGCAGCCGTTGTTACGGGAAAACAGCGTCAAGCTGTTCTTGCAGAGCTGTGCTTGGCAATTGTATCTGCATGTGTGGGTAGCGAACGTCCCAGGGTGCGACACCAGATTTAAGGATCAGAGATGGGCAACCCTTATTGGATCAGACAAAGCTTTTTCGAGCTGTTTCAAGACCAGCGTAATCTCAGAATGCTGGTGGGGCCAAAACGCCTCCCTGCCACGAGGGTGTATTCCATATGTCATCCTCGTTCCGCTAACGGGCTGCTTCTTGTTCTTTCAGTGGAAGCTGTACGGAGCCTTCCGTCGGTAGAGGTAGAGCCGCTGCCCAAGTCGGTCATACAAGTCTTTGCTCCTCTGCTTGACAAGCCTGCCTTGAGTGCCTCAGACACTCCCGAAGCCGACCTTTCAGCCGTGGACTCCAAAATTGTGCTGAGCCTTATGCCCTTTCAAAGAGAAGGCGTGAAGTAGGTCCCGTTGTCGTGCCACGAAAAGCTGGGCCTGGGCTTATGGTTTGGCATTTCCTGTCAGTGTGATGTAGGATGGAAGGGAGTAGTCGACTACCTGAGAAGCCTAAGCTTATCGGGTAATAGAGTCAGCTGTGCCAGAGGCAGCAAAGTGTGTGTGGGAGGGAAACAGGAGTTAGTGCTTTGGGGAGCCAGCTTAAAAGGCAACAGTGTGGGAGGAAGGGAGCCTGCCATGAAGCTGCCTTTGCCCGCTGTGGGCCCAGGCTCGCCGTGGTCAGAGGCTGCTCGGACAGCAGCCCCTGTCCGTGGGGGGTTCCAGCAGGGAGCCCCCATTCAGCTGTGCCAGAGGCAGCAAAGTGTGTGTGGGAGGGAAACAGGAGTTAGTGCTTTGGGGAGCCAGCTTAAAAGGCAACAGTGTGGGAGGAAGGGAGCCTGCCATGAAGCTGCCTTTGCCCGCTGTGGGCCCAGGCTCGCCGTGGTCAGAGGCTGCTCGGACAGCAGCCCCTGTCCGTGGGGGGTCCCAGCAGGGAGCCCGCCCTTCCTCTCCCCTCCCCCTCTGCCCCGCAGACAGCGACTGCTGCTGTGAAGCAGCTCCCGTCCACAGCAGCCCGGACTGCCCGTGAGCATGGGCCTCCGTGGGCAGTGGCTACTGGACCCGGTGCAGGTCGGGACTGAGCACGCCCAGCTCAGTCCCGGCTTGCGCCGGTCCAGGACTGCTGCAGCTCTGCATCTGAAATGTAATCGTAGCCAGGCAGCTCTTACGCCATTTAAAAAGCAGAGCTGCAGCCGTCCCGGCTCTGTTCCCCCTAGCCCAGGAGCTACCCCTACTGCAACTCAGCAGTTTAAATGTACAAGGGGCCGGCCTGCCTGCGTGCCCAGCTCCCACTACATTTAAACTGCAGAGCTGCAGCGGGGGAAGCTTCTGGACTTGTGTGAGCCAGGACAGAGAGCCTTCCCTTATCGACAAATTGTGTAGTTGATACAAATTGTATCGACTACATGAGTAGTCAATTACCTGCCTCTTAACATCTGTGGGGGTCCCGTACCTCCCCCTCTCACTCTCCCCCAAAAGTCTCGTATCTACAGGAGTCTTTCGCACTGGTGCGTGTTTTCCGTCTTTCCCCGAGCCACGGTGCACGTGACGGCTGGCGTGCGGGGTGGGGGGTCCGGGCCCACCCTCTCTCCCGGACCCCAGCCCAGGGCCCTAAGGATTACCTGCCTCTTAACATCTGTGGGGGTCCCGTACCTCCCCCTCTCACTCTCCCCCAAAAGTCTCGTATCTACAGGAGTCTTTCGCACTGGTGCGTGTTTTCCGTCTTTCCCCGAGCCACGGTGCACGTGACGGCTGGCGTGCGGGGTGGGGGGTCCGGGCCCACCCTCTCTCCCGGACCCCAGCCCAGGGCCCTAAGGACAGGGTCGCGAGGCCTTGTCCCACCGGAGGGGCGAATGCCCTAAACACACCGGTGCGCCGGCTCCATGCCCTGCCCTGGGCTACTTTCTACCCCGCTGGTACCTTCCTTTGTTACCCTCCGTTTCCGTTTCCGTGCCCCGTTCTCCTCTGCCTCTTCCCTGCCCTCTCCCCCCCGGGTGCTTCCCCCTCCTGACCTTGAGGCCGGTTTTTAAAAGTCCCGTGTCGGCGTCCGGGGCGTCTGACGTCAGCGACGACCGCCGGCTCCATGCCCTGCCCTGGGCTACTTTCTACCCCGCTGGTACCTTCCTTTGTTACCCTCCGTTTCCGTTTCCGTGCCCCGTTCTCCTCTGCCTCTTCCCTGCCCTCTCCCCCCCGGGTGCTTCCCCCTCCTGACCTTGAGGCCGGTTTTTAAAAGTCCCGTGTCGGCGTCCGGGGCGTCTGACGTCAGCGACGACGCACGCCACGCTCCTTGCAAGCCCCGCCTCCGGGCCATGCGCAAGCTGATGCCGGCCGCGGCCGGTGGGGGGCGCTACACTGCCCGCATGTCGCTCCTGTGCTCTTGGCCGCCCCCAGGAGCGAGAGGGCGATCGCTGGGTCAGTGCGGGGCGGGCCCGCTTCTGCGGGGTAGACATGGCCCGCCCCATCACAACATCCTTAGTAGGACTGGTTTGCTTTTTGTTTTTTGTTGGTTCATAGAAAAAAAACATCAGAGATGGACTTGCATCCATATTTCCCCAAGGGCTAGGGGTATCGTGCTTTGGTTTGGACTCCGTTTGTCTTTGAATAGAAGGATAATGGCACCTGTCACACATGTCTGGCCAGTATATATCCAGAATTTCTCAGGATGACTGCAGAAGGAAATCACACTTTGCCACGGCACACTGTAGTGTGAAGTATTTCCAAGTCATGTAAATCTCTCCCTTTGGTACGTCTTTGATATGCCCCTCTGGACTGACTGTATGTACAGGTCTCGTTTGCTTTGTCTCATCAATCTAGCTTGTGCATTAGCTGACTTTCTTTACAAACGGCACGTGTAGGGGATCAAAACTGAGCCCAAGGAAGATTCAAAACAACTGATTGTGGAGGGAGCAACTTTTTTGATTTTTTTTCTTCTCATTTCTGGCCACTGTGATGAGACTCAAGCAACAAAATGTCACAGCTGCGGTTCTTAGCATAGGGCGATTAGGACTCTTTTGCTAGCTGCATGAAGGTAAAGTCTGGAAGACTAAGAGTGTTTAGTAGTATCATGGAAAGAGCAGATTCAAACATCTCTCAGGGTCTGAGTCAACCCCAGCAAAATCAAAGTCATTCAGAAGCAAGGTGGCAGTTTTTAACCCGTCTGTTTTGTCACCGTACTGTAGCAGCCTGGTGTCTGTGCAGCGAAAGATGATATATTTGTTGCTCAGTCTTATCAGTGACCCTCCCACCCCACACACAAAGCGTCTCTCCTACCATGTACAATCCAGTGGCCTAAGAACAAGTCTTCATCCTGACTTTTGGTTTGAGGTGTGATGCAGCAATGGAATAAAATGGTTTGGGGCCTAATAAGTAGGCAGCCCAGTAAAGAATTTGAAGAACAGCTAGCAAAAGACACAGACTACCAGCAAAACAATGTGCAAGGGCATTAGAAGCAGGCAGCCTGCCAAACCGTCTGTGGAGCCACTGGCTGAGCGAGGTGCTGAAGGAGCACTTGAGGAAGACAAGGCCACAGCGGAGGAGCTAAACGAATTCTCTGGCTGTTCGCCAAGCTAGTCAGAGGTGCAACCCCATGCTCTGGGTGTTGCTAAGCCTCTAAGGACCAGAAGCTGGAACTGGATGACAAGGGGATGGGTTACTTGATTAATCGCCCTGTGCTGTTAATTTCATCTGAAGAATCTGGAACTGGCTGCTGACCTATGACAAGATAGTGGGTTGGACTCACTTAGAACATACGAACGGCCAGACGGGGTCAGACCAAAGGTCCATCCAGACCAGTGTCCTGTCTGCCCACATGGCCAATGCCAGGTGCCCCAGAGGGAATGAACAGAACAGGGAATCATCCAGTGATCCCTCCCCTGTCGCCTATTCCCAGCCTCTGACACACAAGGGCTAGGGACACCATCCCTGCCCATCCTGGCTAATAGCCACTGATGGACCTATCCTCCACGAATTTTAGTTCTTTTTTTAAACCCTGTTAAAGTCCTGATCTTCACCACATCCTCTGGCGAGGAGTTCCACAGGTTGGCTGTGCACTGAGTGAAGAAAAACTTCCTTTTGTTTGTTTTAAACCTGCTGCCTATTCATTTCATTTGGTGACCCCTAGTTCTTATATTGTGGGAAGAAGTAAATAACTTTTCGTTATTCAGTTTTTCCACACCAGTCATGATTTTATAGACCTCTATCATATTCCCTCTTAGTCTCCTCTTTTCTAAGATGAAAAGTCCCAGTCTTTTTAATCTCTCTTCATATGGGACCCATTCCAAACCCCTCATCATTTGTGTTGTCCTTTTCTGAACCTTTTCCAATGCCAATACATCTTTTTTGAGATGAGGCGACCACATCTGTAGGCAGTGTTCCAGATGTGGGTGTACCATGGATTTATATAGAGGCAATAAGATATTCTCTGTCTTACTCTCTATCTCTTTTTAAATGATTCCTAACATTTTGTTTGCTTTTTGACTGCTGCTACACATTGAGTGGATGATTTCAAAGAATTATCCACCATGACTCCAAGATCTTTTTCTCATAGTTATAGCTAAATTAGTTCCCATCATTTTGTATACATAGTGTGCATTACTTTACACTTATCAACATTACATTTCATTTGCCATTTTGTTGCCCAATCACTTTAGTTTGGTGAGATCTTTTTGAAGTTCTTCACAGTCTGCTTTGGTCTTAACTATCTTGAGCAGTTTAGAATCATCTGCAAATGTTGCCACCTCACTATTTACCCCTTTCTCCAGATCATTTATAAATAGGTTGAATAGGATCGGTCCCCGTACTGACCCTTGGGGGACCCCACTAGTTACCTCTCTCCATTCTGAAAACTTACTATTTATTCCTACCTTTTCTTTCCTGTTTTTTAACTAGTTATCAGTCCATGAAAGGACCTTCCCACTTATCCCATGACAACTTACTTTACGTAAGAGCTTTTGGTGAGGGACCTTGTCAAAGGATTTCTGGAAATCTAAGTACACTATATCCACTGGATCCCCCTTGTCTACATGTTTGTTGACCCCCTCAAAGAACTCTAGCAGATTAGTAAGGCATGTTTTCCCTTTGCAGAAACCATGTTGATTTTCCCCCAACAAATTATGTTCATTTATTTGTCTGACAATTTTATTCTTTACTATAGTTTTAACTAATTTGCCCACTACTGCTGTTAACTTACTGGTCTGTAATTGCCAGGATCACCTCTAGAACCCTTTTTAAATATTGGCGTCACATTAGCTATCTTCCAGTAATTAGGTACGGAAGCTGATTTTAAGGATAGGTTACAAATGGCAGCAAATGGTTCTGCAATTTCACGTATAAATTCTTTCAGATGGGTGAATGCCATCTGGTCCTGTGAACTTGTTCCATGTTCTGCCATCCATCACTACTGAGGACAGCCTCTTTCCATCCACTTTGGAACCTCCCTTCATAGAATAATAGGACTGGAAGGGACCTCGAGAGGTCATCGAGTCCAGCCCCCCGCCCTCAAGGCAGGACCAAGCTCCGTCTACACCATCCCTGACAGATGTCTATCTAACCTGTTCTTAAATATCTCCAGAGAGGGAGATTCCACCACCTCCCTTGGCAATTTATTCCAATATTTGACCACCCTGACAGTTAGGAATTGTTTCCTAATGTCCAATCTAAACCTCCCCTGCTGCACTTTAAGCCCATTACTCCTGGTCCTGTCCTCAGAAACCAAGAGGAAGAAATTTTCTCCTTCCTCCTTGTGACAACCTTTTAGATATTTGAAAACCGCTCTCATGTCCCCCCTTAATCTTCTTTTTTCCAAACTAAACAAGCCCAGTTCATGAAGCCTGGCTTCATAGGACATGTTCTCTAGCCCTTTAATCAGGAAGATGAAGGCTGCTATCAAATCCCCCCTCACTCTTTTCTTTTGCAGACTAAATAAGCCCAAATCCCTCAGCCTCTCCTCATAGGTCATGTGCTCCAGCCCCATTATTATTATTTTGGTTGCCCTCCGCTGGACCCTCTCCAGCGCGTCCACATCCCTCTGTAACAGGAGGCCCAGAATTGGATGCAATACTCCAGATGTGATGCAATGCTCCAGATAGGTCCATCAATGGCTATTAGCCAGGATGAGTAGGGATGGTGTCCGAAGACTCTGTTTGGGAAGGTGACAGAGGATGGATCATTTGATGATTCCCTGCTCTGTTCATTCTCTCTGGGGGCATCTGGCATTGGCCACTGTCAGAAGACAGGACACTGGGCGAGGTGGTTCTTCGGTCTGACTCAGTGTGACCATTCTTATGTACTCCACCAAAAGTGGTAGGAGTCTGACGCTGAGGCCTCTGAGACTGAAGACCATGGAGGAGCTGAAGTTCAGGGCATTGAGCGCTTGGGGAGTGCCTAGGTGTGGAGAGGGAGCATGCCTGGACATCATTGCTGGCCTCACTCTACTGGAGGTTCCTGCCACTGCCTAGAAGGCAAGAATGTCACTGTAAGGTGCAGCAGGTCCTAAGTGGTTTCAAACACTTCCAATGCTGAAGGAAGTGGCAGCTGCTGGCTCCTTGGGACCGGTGAATGTAGGGGGCCCAAACTCAACTGCCTTGTCTGGACAGGAGCCAACTGTGGCCCACCAGGATCTCACTTTCTTCGATTTGGCTGGAAGTGACCGACAATCCAGCTTCTTTTTATTTTTTTTTCCTTGGGCACCAGCGACTGAGACCAGAGCTTGCTCTCCACCAGGCCTCGGAAGGTGCCGTGCTGGTGCTAAGCATCTCGGGACAAGTGTTTTCTCAGCACTGAACTTGATGATGGAGCCAGAGTGCTGTGTGTCAATGGGAGAATACTAGGAGCCAGGTCCCCTGGACGAAGGTCAGAATGGCGGCTGAGACAGGGTCAGGCCAGAGGGGTACAGGAGAGTGGTAAAAGGGAAGTATAGTAACCCTAGATTGAGTAAGTCTCTGTTCTCGGGGTAAACTAACAAAGGCCAATCCAGAACCAGCAGGAACTTTCCAGAACCAATTAGGGCAATTAAGCCACCTGGGGCCAATTAGCATGTTTCCAGAGTCAAGTGAATCAGACTAGTCAGATCACCTGGGGCCAATGAAGAATCAGTTTAGACCAGTTAAAAAGGGCTCCTTTTCAGTTAGTTCAGACTGTGCAAGGAGTTTGAGGAGAGAAGGAGCCGTGGAGAGACTTATTGTAAAGTTCTTATAGTCAGTGTTGTCTCAGTGCTTCCATATGTAGCCTGATTTAGGAAGGGTAATATTAGTTTGGGTTGTAGGCTCATCAGCTGAACTGATCAGAAGTTAATGAGGTTCTTGTCTTAGAATGAGGCTGCACAGAATATACAAAGGGCCCTTGGAGGATGACCGGATTTTCACACTGAGGGTGTGTCTATACTGCACTCTGAACTCGAAATAAGATATGCAATTTGTGCTCTGCAATTTGCATATCTTATTTAGATTTTATTTCAAAACAGGCTATTTCGAAATTTGGCGCGTCTACACGGTGCCAAAATTTGAAATAAAGTGCTATTTTGAGCCATTTCTTATCCCTCGTGCAATGAGGTTTACAGGGATAGCGAAATAGCGTGTCTGTCATTTCAAAAAAATATTTCGAAATAACAGGCGTGTTCCTTGGATGCGGGATAGCTATTTTGGGATACCTCTGGTATCCCAAAATAGCTGTGTAGTGTAGACATACCCAGAGACAAAATAGTATAAAACTGCATTAAAATATATGGATAGAGGTAGCAGTTCGAATGGTAAAATGAATTGGGGTTACAAATGCAGTATTGTTAGTCTAAGATCCATCTGGGAATATTTCTATATGTGGTGATTAATAGACTCACACCCATTCTTGATGACCTGGTGATAAGAGACAAAGGTGTGCTGAGATAGTTTAAAGTAGGCTTAAGTCAGAGGAAGTGGGTCTGGCCCACGAAAGCTCATCATCTAATAAACCATCTTGTTAGTCTTTAAAGTGCTACATTGTCCTGCATTTTGCTTCAGCTACCCCAGACTAACACGGCTACATCTCTATCACTTAGCTCAACAGTTAGCTTCAATAGCTCATAGCATTAGCCTCTGCACTTCCCACTTGAAAGCTGAGAAACCTGGCCCTGAACTAAGAGACTATTAGGAAGACACAGTTTAGAGATGAACCTCAATTCCTAACTTTTCCTGCTCTTCTTTTCCCTTTCCTGAACTTCTCGGAATAACTAAAAGCTCTGGGCACCCTGTTTTATATGCTTAGGTGCTTGGGTCCTCCTCCTGTGCCCAAATTTAACTTCCTCGCCCCCAAACTATTTGGGTACACTAATTCTATAGGCTGGACATACATGGCATATTTGTATGTATTGATGGTGCATGCATAGTAATGATGTTAAATGATTTTCACTTAGGTTGTTTCTATGCTATTTCTGTTCTTTTGGTGGTGTACTTGTTAAGTTTGAGGGTATTCTTGGAAATCTCCTATGCCATTAAAAGTTTCTTTATCTTGGCACCATCTGTCCAGGTGCAAGGTCCTAGATATATGCAAGCTGGCTTTGCTATCTGGATGAAAGTCCCAGATATATGCAAGCTAACTGTGCTATCTGGGCGAAAGTTTCCAGACAAAGATACTAACTTTCCCTTAGCTTAACATACAAGATATGGCCTGTAGGTCCCTTGCATTACAGCCACATTTCTTTACTATAAAGCTATAAGCTTACTGTAGCAAACCAAGTAAAACTGTCTGTTGTCCTGGAGATGGTCCATGCCACTGAGGGGGAGGCATCTTGGCAGGGCTGCGCAGGGAAGCTTGTGCTGCCGTTGTCTGCACTGTGCCGGCCGAGGTGCTAAGCAGACGGCTCCTGGCTGCTGGATTGTCAGGTTGCTGCTAATACAGGGGTGGATCTGGCTCCAGCCTGTGGAGGCCCTACTGCTCTCCTGCCCCCAGACCCTGATTGGCCTGGGAGTGGGGGAGCGTGCCAAGCCTTTTCCAGGGCATGGGTGCCTAGTGAAAAGTGGGGGCAAAGGAGCACCCCCACCCCCAGTCTAATCATGGTCTGGGGGTGGGGTAGCCCCGCCCCTCCCTGTTTAGGCCCCACCCTTCCAGGGTGGCCCTGGGCTACTTCTACAATTTTTGAAGTGGCTCCTGAGCAAAAATGATTGCCCACCCTTGCGCTAATATGTACTTGAAAAATAAAACCAAAGGGCTGCCAACGAAGCCACCTGCTCTTCCCTCTCCTTCGGGAGCGAGCGTCTCTGACTTGGGAGAGGTGGTGCTAAACTTGGCTGAGAAGATGGGACCAGGCTTTACCCTTCTGCTTCACGTTCTTTCAGTTTTGCCATCTCCCGAGAAGGCCGTTTGCTTCTTGCGGATGACATGGGCTTGGGGAAGACGATCCAGGCGATCTGCATTGCAGCGTATTACCGAAAGGAGTGGCCGTTGCTGGTGGTAACCCCTTCGTCAGTGCGATTCACCTGGGCAGAGGTACTGCATGTTTAAGGAGCGCTTTTAAGGGCTCGCCTGTTTGGTTTTTCCTTTCTTTTTTTAAAATATGGATACTATGAAGGATGGCAAAATTGCCATCCAGTTAGAAAAATGGGAAAACCCAGGAAGGGATGAGGTTCCATTATCCCCTGCAATTGCAAGACACTGACCATAAGATAAATGCTTGCCTGAGCCTAATGGATGGTCCTCGTGCTGTATTCGAGGCAGGTTACAGATCTTCGACAAAAAGACCTTAAGGGGAAAAATTCCCCTGTAACCATGTCGTCGATTTAACCTTGTGCATGTGAACCAGGCTCACTGCACTTACACATCTTAATTTCAATAATGCCCAGGACCCCAATGACATGTGAGCAATTACCCACTTCTTTTGAAACTTACCAAAGCGGGTTCTACCAACGTCTCCGCTGGTACAGAATTCCAGATGCTGAATTTTAATATGTGTTCTTCAGTTCCTGCAGAGCTCAGCAAACGTGACCAGTGGTTTTTTTTTCCAGGGCAAAATTCGGTCCATTAGCTTTAATTTACACAATCCTCATAATTCTTTGTTGTCCTTGTTAATCAGGACTCTGCTACCCGGCCCGAGTCAGGACCTAGAGATGGGCACTCTCCCGGATTGGCAATACACATAATAGAAAGAAAGCAGGACTGCAGGCCCTGTCCTCGGAGGAAAATGACTGTTAATTAAGCAGCCTGTGTGAGCAAGATGATTTTGAGGCCTGCTTTCCTTACCTGTGAACTGTTGATTAATGCTGGGAGAAAGTGAAGTGTAGAAGTGCTAATACGTTTCGTGCCTGACGGTGGCGGTCTTTTTTCAGCTCACTGTACTGAGGCCTGTAGACTAGTAAATTGGCTGGCTGGTGTTGTGAGGCAGGACCTTGGTACTACGTACAACAGTTCTCTTTCTCCGCTACCGTTGGTACAACAAAGCTCCGGGCACTCGGCAGACGCATTTAGATTTTTAGCTGAGTTGTGACAGGGAGTAAAGTGGCTTGCGTTTGGGATGAGGAAGGACAAGATGGCGGCAGCATCCTTCAGAGGCTGGTGGAGATCTGGGCCAGCACTCTAACAGGTAGCTCTTGATTTAGGATCTCTCCAGTTTTGGGTGCCCAGCTCGGAATGTCTTAGGTCCTGACTTTCAGAAGCGCTGAGCATTTCTATCTCTGATCATGTTCTGGGTCAGCTCTTGTCTGCGTACTACCTGGTCATGTATCGACTTGGCATCTGGTTTTTGTTCTCTCCTCCTTTCCTGGAGGGGAGATGTGCATGCAGTGGAGTGTGTTGTTGTTGTAGATCTTCTCCCCCACCCCCTAATCCATGTAGCTATGTGTGTACGGTAGGAAGGCAAAGCCAGATAAATTCACCTTGCCCTTTGGGTGTTGTGATGGTCTTTAGTTCCTGGTCACGTCTCGTCACAGCTAGGGTCCATGCTGAGCAAGTAGCAAAGAGATAGCAGACTTGGGTCTTCCTATTAGGAGGAGTATAGTGGAGTGCCCAGCACGTGGGACTCCACTCCTGATGCTTGCTCTGCCAGTTATTCGCTGCATGGCCTTGAGCCAGTCACTTAAACATCATTAGACCCATTCTCCAGATGGGTAAAACTGAAGCACAGGCGGGTTCTTTCCACAGTTGTGGTTGTGAGGCTCCATTATAGCTTTGGGGATCCTCCAAGGAAAGACGTGAGAGAGGTTTCAGCATCCTCGTAATCACTTGTTCTCCTTTCCCAGGCGTTTCATAGGTGGCTTCCCTCCCTGAACCCAGACAGCACCAATGTCGTGCTGACAGGTAAAGACAACCTGTCAGCAAAATTGATCAACATCATCAGTTTTGACCTCCTCAGCAAGATGGAGAAGCAGCTCAAAGACACTTTCCAAGTTGTCATTATTGTAAGTAGCATTCCTTTAAACGGCAGTAGGAGGCCTGGATAGGCTGGGTTCTCCTGGGTTGTTAAGAAGCATTTGTAGAGAGCAAACTTTGTAGAGACTGGTTGCTCTGCCCAGCAAGTTACATAACTTTTACAATACTTTGTGTGTGTGTGTCGGGGGGGGGGGGGGGGGGGGGGGTTTTTTCCCCCCGGATTTATTCTCCCCCTCCCCCATTGCAATTGCATCATAGGCTTGAACATTCTGATCCCGGTTCTGTTAATGATTGGTAATAAATTCATTCAACCGTGCATTGGCTCCCGGGCAGTCTCCAGCTGTCACTAGTACCTGTAGATCTATATGGGAAGGGTGCCTGAAACCATCTCAAATATGCTTTGCTTCTCCTCCGCTCTGTACTCCTCCTCCTCGCCAACTCCTGACACCGTGTGTCGTCCCTGCTGGGTGTGAGCCGCTCCCATTGACTTTCAGGGGAAGACAGATGTTTCCTGTGGCTGGAGAATCGAGTCCTAGAAATGCTCTGTTAGAAGGTCGATGGGATTGTGTTTTGCCCAAGGAGTGCCACAGTGAATGTGTTCAATGAACGGCCGGTGTTTATACAGTTTTGCCATTGGCTACATTCTCTACAAATCCAGTACACCAAAAAATTCTTGGAATAATGTCCAGAATCTTTTCTAATGTATCAAGATACAGTGTAGACAAAATCAAGGTTGGCGCTACGTGCTTCAGCGGGGCTGTGGTGTTTTCTCTGCGTGTGTGTGTGATTTCTACGTTCTCTTTGCTTTCCGAATCTATAATCTATATTTTTTTTTAGATACAAAGGGATTAGGCATTATAGAAAATTCTTACATAGACTTCAATTCCATTCCTGTTAGTTAAAATAGGTCTCTAGATATGTATCTGTTTGATGGGAACCTTTAGCACTCTCATTGTTTCAAATCCAGCCTAGATTGGTAGCCACCAAAAGGCATTACGGTTTGATGGCCCTTTTTATCTTGTGTGAAGTGAGTTGAGCGTTCTCGGCCTGATTTCCAGTGAACAGATGTTTCTGTCCTATAAAGCACCATGATGGCAGTTGTTGGCAGTGTCAGCAGAGCGGATGAGAACAGACCAGCCTCTCGAGACTGAACTTTTCTCACCTTTGATTGATTTTTGCAAGGGTCCAGGCACAGAGAGCATATCAGGACGGAGGAAAGTCACAGCTACTTCTTGTTTGGGATTAAGGATCTCTGCATCTAGAGCAATCAGTCCATTGCCTTTAACCTGCGCTACAGTGACAGATGCACTATCCATGCCCAGGTGTATGCACATTCAAATCTTGTATGTGTCAAAATGGCCCCGTGGAGTGGTTAGCCTCCCTACTTTTTTCTTCCAGTCGTCGTCTTCTGCCTGGTGTCGTAATAACTTTACCTTCTTGCTAACCAGGAAGGAGAAAGCTGTGTGTTGGAATCTAAGTGGTGTATCCTCCTTTCTCCGGGTGGCTGCTTGCTCAGCCAAGCACAGCAAGATGAGCAAGAACGTACCCTTGGACGGTGCCAATTTCCTTCGTGTTGTTAAGTTCTGCCTAAACTGCAACAAAGGAAATGTAGCCTATTCTGCAAGTCATGTCTCAGCCGGGAGGTTATTATCCACCTGGAGAGCCCTAACAGCAAAACAGTAGGCTTCTAATTAGATTTCTGAACTTCTGATGCTTTTCATTAACCCCTTCATTTGAGGGAGGCAGCATCACGCCAGGGTCCCTGTGAATTTCCACTTTAAGAAAGGACACACAGTGGCAAATGAAGATCAGTGGTGGAAATTCTTTGCCTCTTTTTACTTCTTCTCTCCGCTTGCTTGGCTTGGCTATGCTCCGTCATGGTTTGTGTTTGAATGTTTGTTTCCCCCCTTCCTCCGAATTTGCAGGCAGTCCTGCCCCTTTTGTGATGGTTTCACGGTCAAAATAGCCTGGTGGCCAGCCCAGAGATTGCAACCTATTTGGGGACGATCGGCTTGAAACATTATGAAGCATAGGATTCTGGGAATGTGCTCTTTATTCCAGAGCTAAGCTATGGATCAGGACCGAGCTCCATTCATTTTCTCGCCTGTTTTGTTTCAGGATGAATCTCATTTCCTAAAGAACACAAAAACCGCACGCTGCCGAGCTGCAATGCCTCTTCTTAAGGTGTGTATTCTGTATGCCCCCGCCCTCGACCGTTTCCTCCGAGGGGTGTAAAATCCCGTGTAATCAGTTAACTGGTTAAACGTTATGGTTAACTGATGAAGCAGGATCCGGTGGAGCAGTGGATCTGGCCAGAGCATCTGGCCTGAATATCTATATCCCAACAGGGATAACAGTTCCTCCCAGGGCTGTAGTAAAAATGAACATCTGAACGTGTATTTAAAAATAGTAAGCTAGACGAATAAAGGTCAAAATAATCCTGTTTGCCATTGGTTGTGAGACTTTAAGACTTGTAAGTTGAGCACATGTTGCAACTTTCTGTGCAAACTGCAATAAGTTAATCCAGGGCCCTTTTTCTGTTGCATCACTTTCATGTAATGTACAACACCTACTCGAGTGCGAATTCTTCCCCTCTGCTGGTTGGAGGATCAGACTTGCTCAGCTGAGGGGGTGTGAGAGAGAGCACTCTTGATTCCCTTACAACAAAAGGAAATTCTCTGTTCACTTGTGTGGAAGGCCCTGTCCTGTTAGATGGATTTAAGGTCTGTCACTGCTTGCAATTATGAAGTCCTGGGTGGACTACAGATGTGTTATGATTCCACCAGGTGGGTCAGTTCCTAGAAAGCGTTTTCTTTCCTATTTCTAATTACATGAGGATCAGCTGCCAAAAGGTATTTGCGGGATCCAGGATAGCAGGTAACATTCTGGGGCCACTCCAAAAGGAGACCAGTGTCCTTTGTTAACCTGTTTAGAATTTACGGTTTTACACTGAAAGTGACTAATCACACTTAATGGAGAGCTAATATTTCCAAAATGGTGAGTTTCAGTCCTTTGGAGGGAAGTTGATTTTTTTTTTTTTTTTTGTACTTTCAACTGAAAATGGTAAGAAGCAAGGAAATGGAGGCCAAAATGTGCACACCAATTGTATATCAGATGCCCAGGTGAATGCCATTTTGATCGTTTCAAATCTGGCTGCTCTCATTTTGATTTGTGGTGCAGCTATTACGTATTTTCTCACTTAAAGGAACAAAAAAAGCAAGGTCTTGAGCTGACTGTTAATTTTTGTGCCTCAAATAAGCGCCAGAATGGGTTGATATAGCAAAACCTCGAGATTCTAAAGATTTAAAGGACTTTGTGTGGGCTAGATAAAAGTGTGTATCGTTTATCGTTACATGCTTTGAGACCTAGGGGGAAGGCCTCCCCTCCGTTCAGCCTGTTTATGCTGTGTCAAAGGATCAGAGCAGTGTGGTGTGGTCAAGGTGCCTCTCACAGGCCCTGGGGTAGGGGTGTGCCAGTGGTGGAGCTGACTATGGGAATACTATCAGAGGGGTAGCCGTGTTAGTCTGAATCTGCAAAAGCGACGAGGAGTCCTGTGGCACCTTATAGACTAACTGAAGTGTAGGAGCATAAGCTCCGAAGTGGGTCACGAAGTGGGTCTTTGCCCACGAAAGCTTATGCTCCTACACTTCAGTTAGTCTATAAGGTGCCACAGGACTCCTCGTCGCTTATGGGAATACTGTGTATGGCCGTGCTGCGGACTGTAGTGGTGAGGGCAATGGGAAGTCACGGGAGGCTACAGTTTGCTGCTTTTCTAGCACTAGTTAAAACAGCAAGCCCCAGAGCATAGCTATGTACTCTCCCCGCTTGGAGAGAGACACCTGTGCTAGCTCCGATCGAGCTTGTTGCTAAAAATAGTTAGCTCTCAGCAGTGGGAGGGACTAGCTGCCCTGAGCATCATTCTGTAGCCTTTGATGGGCATATGGCCAAGACATCCCAACACTCACCACTCGTTAGCACACTTGCTCAGAGCTAGCACGGGTATGTCTCATGTTGGGAACCACCCCCAGCTCAAAGTGCAGACAACCCCTTCGTTGAACTGTGGGCCTCTCTATTCTCTCCCCCCCTGCCCCGCCAGAGTCTGTAGTGTGCAAATCTGCCTACGCCCCCTTGGAGAGGCAGCACACCATTTCGTTCTGGGTGTGTAAGTCACTTTCTTGAGTAGCAAGTATGTAGGCACCCTCCAAAGCTTAAACTCCAGCTGATTTATGGCAGAGGAAAAACCTCCTAAGAAATGTGATCTCTGCTTTTTATTTGCTATAAATATTTATACGTCTGTAACCACTGTGGCCGGATTTAAATTGAAATGTTTCTGCAGCTGATAGCGTGCTTCGCTTGGGTACTTGTTATCAGGTCCTTTTATTGCCCTGGAATCTGGTGCCGGCGCTTCCTTACTACAGTGGCAAGTAAAACTTCGAAATGTTTGTGGTGATTTAGACCAACGTGCCCACTACTCAGAGTAAATCCAGAAAGAAGACGTAAGTTGAGCATGAGTTTGGAAATTGCCGTCTGAGCAACAGGGCTGAATGCCTGTTTCCGAAACGCTTTTCCGTGGGCTTGTTTCAGTCTCGAAGATCGTAGTTGATCGTTTTCTAACCGAAGGTGGGACGGGTAACGTGTAACTCCTCTTTTTCTGCTCTGGTGTAAATGTGGCCTCGAGTAGGTGCAGGGTGGTGATGTACGTTGCTTTCCCGTCTACCCCGGCATAAAGCATATGGCTGCAGTCCCACTGTTGTGCATTGGTAGAAATAATCACTCGTATAAACAGCAACGTGTCTTGGTCTTCTGTACTGGACACCAGAGATTTTGCTGCTACTCCCTCAAGGGCCAGGCCCGGGGAAGGGAAGAAGTTTTGGTCTTCAGGTGCAGGGTGGTGATGTACGTTGCTTTCCCGTCTACCCCGGCATAAAGCATATGGCTGCAGTCCCACTGTTGTGCATTGGTAGAAATAATCACTCGTATAAACAGCAACGTGTCTTGGTCTTCTGTACTGGACACCAGAGATTTTGCTGCTACTCCCTCAAGGGCCAGGCCCGGGGAAGGGAAGAAGTTTTGGTCTTC